TAGCATAGTTTGAGATCAGAAAGTATGACACTTTGTTCTTTTTCTCTCTCAAGATTGCTTTGGCTATTTTGTGATTCCATATAAATTTTAGGATTATTTGCTATAGTCCTATGAAGAATGACATTGGTATTTTGATAAAAATTGCACTGAATCTGTAAATTTGTGTAGTGTCGTCATTTCAACAACATTATTCCTTCCAATCCATGAGCACTGTATATCCTTCCACTTATTTGTTGTCCCCTTCAATGTCTTACAGTTTTCAGAGAACAGGTCTTTCACCTCCTTAAGTTCATTTCTAGATATTCCATTCTTTTGGATGTAACTGTAAATGGAACCATTTTCTCAATTTCTCCTTCTGATTGTTCATTATTAGTAGATAGAAACATGATAGGTTTCTGTATATTAATTTTGTATCCTGCTACTTTACTGAATTCTTATTAATTCTATCATTTTGGGTGGATTCTTTAGGGTTTTCTATATATAGTATGTAATCTGCAAAGACAGTTTTACTTCTTCCCTTAATGTTTGGATGCCTTTTATTTCTTTTTCTGTCAGATTGCTGTGGCTAGGACTTCCAGCACTATGTTGAATAATAGTGGCGAGAGTGGGCATCCTTGTCTTGTTCCTGATCTTAAATGAAAAGCTCCTAGCTTTTCACCAGTGAGTATGATGTTAGTTGTGCTCTTAGCATATAAAGCCTTTATCAAGTTAAGGTAAGTTCCTTCTATACTCACTTTGTTGAGTCTTTATCATAAATACAAGTGGAATTTTGTCAAATGCTTTTTCTGTATCGATTGGGATAATCATGATTTTCACCCTTGGTTCTGTTTATGTAATGAATCACATCGTTTTGTGGATGTTGAACCACTGTTGCATCCTTGGTATAAATCCCGCTGGCTGGTGGCATATAATCCTCTTAATGTACTATTGAATTCAGTTTGCTAGTATTTTGTTGAGAATTTTGGCATCTATGAAGAACACAATTTTAGCGTGTTTCTCTTCTTTTGGCAACTCTGGTAAATTATCTTGTGTTTAATGGCTGATCTGAAGATTTTCTTGAATATTTTGTATGCAGACAAGTACATCATATGAAAATAAGCAAAATTTTCTTTTGCTTCCTTTCCACCTTTTAAATATCACATTTTTCCTTGACTTATTGCAATAATTAGTACAATAGTACAGCTGAACAAAAAAGTAATTAGAGGGTATTCTTGTTTTGTTTTTTGCTTTTAGTGGAAATCGTTTTGAAACTTCACCATTAATCATGATGTTTGAGATAGATTTTTATCAGAGCAAGAATTTTTGTTTTTATTCATGAATGAGTGCTAACTTTTATCAAATGTTTTTTCTAAGTCTACTGAAATGACTGCCTATGACTTTGGTTCAATCTGTGGATTGAAACCCATTTGATCATAGCAAAATAAGTTTAATGTATTTGCAGAACAGAATTTCTTATAAAGAAACAATATAACGAGGATACCAGACTTCATCCTAAGATGTAAGATAGATAATGTTTGGTAAAACTTTTGTTTTAGCTCTTACACAAACACACATGTATGTGCTCTCAGTTGCTGAGTAAAAAAAATCCTTCTTACTGTGGGTTGTTTAAAAAACAGTTTGAAAGCCACTGATCTATACTAGTCTCGAAGCATGAAAAAACACTGTAAAGGACAAATATTGTAAGGTTTTCTTAAAAATAAATAACACAATGTTTGGATTTTGTTCATTTAAAAATACCCAGATTTTCCTGATATTATTATGTAAATATTATTTAAATACTCTTTAAAATATTTTATAAATATTATTATTTTTTTTTTTTTAAATATATATTTTATTGATTTTTCACAGAGAGGAAGGGAGAGAGACAGAGAGTCAGAAACATCGATGAGAGAGAAACATCGATCAGCTGCCTCCTGCACACCTCCTACTGGGGATGTGCCCGCAGCCCAAGTACATGCCCTTGACCGGAATCGAACCTGGGACCCTTCAGTCCGCAGGCCGACGCTCCATCCACCGAGCCAAACCGGTTTCGGCTATAAATATTATTAATATTAGAATAATAAATCATAATCCCTTGACGGGCAAAATGGCCTACATTCACAGAAACATTTTAAGTCACTCAAAAGTAACAGAAATAAATTAAGCATGAATTTCTGAAAAGAACTCTTCTTTGAGGATCACTTTTACAAACTTTTCTTTATGTGTAATTTCTAGGGCTAGATCTTTCATTATATTTTCAAAAGTATGTGACTTTAGAAATGACAGAACCTCTACTCCAAAAAGTTCAATGTTAATTTACATTTCTAAAATCAGAAGATAACGTGGCACCTGCACGACTGACATCACCGTTTCTGTCCTGTTGCACTGAGTCTGGCTTATTCATGTCTTGGCTGTTTATATTACTTCATCCTATGCTGACTAACTGCTTAGCCTTGTCAGTGGTTATATGCCCTCAAACCCCACCCATATACATATGGCCATTCAATGTTTCTCTTTGCCAATCACTCCTGAAACTTTCCTTTGCTTGTGAAATAACATTACTCACCCTACTCATTGGATTTATTTCTGGAAGATTTGTGGCTGCTTCCTGATTATACTGATTGTGATTTGTCACCAGTGAGGCTATTTAAAAAGAGGCAACTCCCAAAGAGGAGCCCCAACCCGTTCTGCACAATGGCAGCATTGTTGGTATAAGTATCTAATCCACCAAAGGGTAACAATTACTTGGGTGTAAGAAATTTGAAAAAAAAATTTTTTAACTCACATTCCCTTCTTATATTCCATGTATGCTGATGTTCTCTACTAAAGCCACTTTTCAAACAAATTGGCATTACACAGACATTTCAGGGACCACAGAATTTATCTTAGCAATGATACTGACATTTAGTGCCAAGTATATAAATCTGAAGAACATAGTATCACTGCTTCTAACTGCAATTTTTAAAACAACTTCGAATTCTATAAAGGTATGCTAATTCCCTGGCTGCTGCTGGATATAATAGTGTGGTATCCAAACTGAAAGAAAGCTTTCTTTATAGTCTTTTTTAGAAGTCCCCCAAGTTAACTTACATAATAAACATAAATTTGAAAGTGCACAAAGCAATCTATTAGTTATATGTAATTTTATAATCCCCAAAGTAGTATATTTAAAATCATAGCAGTCTATTATAACAATTACATTTGTTAAATGGGAATGGCAAGAGTAGATGAGGAAAAGGGAGACTTTGTTTTTTACTTTAAATACTTCAGTACTGAATAAATATTTAAACACTTTTTAGTAAAAAACTGAATAAAGAGTATAATTATAAAATCAAGACATTAGTTTTTTTCTACACCCTGTCATCCCCACATCTAATCTCCTTCCAGACTTAGCACTGTGAGGGCGGAGGCCTTGTGTGTCTTCTACAGCAGTCTATCTCCCACAGAGCCATCCCCATCGCCGATGCTCTGCATCTAGATGAGTAGAGGTGAAGGCAATGGGAGCAGGAGGATTCAACAAACCTTGAAGTGAGCATTAAAAATAGCACTTCTGCCCGCAGTCGTGGCTCAGTGGTTGAGTGTCGACCTTTGAACCAGGAGGTCATGGTCGATTCCCAGTCAGGGCACACGCCTGGGGTTGCAGGTTCGATGCCCTGTGTGGGGCATGCAGGATCAATGATTCTCTCATCATTGATGTTTCTATCTCTCTCTCCCTCTCCCTTTCTCTCTGAAGTCAATAAAAAAAATTTTTAAATAGCACTTCTATTTAGAAGTGAAGGGACCAAAGTTTTGCCATCCTGAAGCTGCTTGTTGGAATACTGATTTTAAGCTGTTTATTAAGAAACAAGACTGAGAAAGAACCTTTGGCCTTTTCCATCTAAACATCCTGCCTAAGAGGTTTAGATGAAAAGGCCTACTCCAGGAAGGGAATTTCAGGATATTCATTTTAGCCTAATTTGAATTAAGTATGGTAAATAGGAGGACTTCAGGCAGGGGCCTGTTCACTAGAAATCCTGTGTCCCATTGTTTCTGAGTTGCCTAGCAAGAAATTTGCCTGCTGTGTGTTCCCTTCTCCCTCAACTATCTGTAAATTGCCCACTCTCACTTCTTAAATCTAAGACCCCATTCCCCCTACCTTTCTCCTTTATCCAAAATGTCATATATACCCAATGTTGCCTCACTGTTTTTGAAATTTTTATGCTTATGTGAAGTTCCCATGCGTATGTATTAAAATTTTATTTTCTCCTGTTAATGTCTTTTAATTTATTAACCCAGCTAGAAGAACTTAAAAGGTAGGAGGAAAAGTATTAATTTTATAGCTCCCATTAGAAAGTAGACTTTAGAATAAAAAGATTCATTATCTTCTCCCTTTGAAATTCTAGTTAGTATCTATTCACAATTCTAACTGCTCTGCTCCTTCCACGTTTAGACCCCTATTTGAATGGGATGGCCAGAGAAACCCTCTACAGGGCAAATAATTGATCATAACGACAATGTTACTACAAGTTTGAGAATATCATCCTGAATATTACATATGAAGTCCAATGCCAAGAACCTGACTCCTGTATGACATTCTTTTTTTGGAACTAGTAAGTAAAATGCCAGTCACCTGTTAAATGGAATATAACTACTTCATTCTTATTGTTTCTAATCTCTAAGTTCAATTCTATACCTTGCTACCCAACAAACTCACTTCATATTTGGTCACTATTCTCAATAACCTATCACTTTCTCCATGAAGTCCATATACCTCAGCTTCGGCCTTAAGTCATTAGTCACAATATAGGTGCCTACACTGGGACCAGGCTGATATTAAGGGCAGGAGCAAGAAACAAAAGTAAGTAACAATGATATAACAACCACTTCTCAGCTCCAGACTATGAGTTTATAAAAAACAGTGTAGGTAAAAATGAGTTTTGAAATCTTCCGTCTTGAACTGTAAAATACAAAACTATGCAGAGAGGTCATGGGTTTAAAAGAGGTCAAGGAGAATTAATGCATGAAAGCTGCTGTTGACAAACCTGTCCCAAATTTGCTGAAGGGGTGTTTGGGATTCCCCGTAGCTTTCTCCAACTGAAAGAGTCTCCAAGCATCGTTCATCACATTCTTCTCATGTTCTGAATCAACTGCATTCACCTCTCTGTCTTTGCAACTCTCATCAAATAACGGGCACAGAAAAAACTGCGCAAACCTAAGGGTGTGAAACATAATTTAAAAGCTGTTATTTTTAAAAAGTGGCCTTTAAAAAAATGCTTGAAATGTAACAGATAGGAAATATTAATTCTACAAAATCAGAAAAAAACTACCATTGCTACTAAGAAAAAAGGAATATAAAATATGTTCTAAGTAACATTAAAAAAAATATAATATTGGACATATGTAAATTCAGAAGTCAATCTACCCGGGAGATGTTAGTGAAGATATAAAAAGATGAACACCTCCGATTCTGACACCAATTCCCATGTCTTTTTTCCACACCACCAAACAATTCTCCGACACCAGCTGGGTATCCCACAATTCAGCTCAATTATGACACTGGCTACCTAAAAATCAGATGCTGCCCCCTACAAGACTGCCCCCTTCAGACACTAATCACAAGTCTGGGTTGTCACCTAAGCTTCTGACCAATCCTCTGAACAATCGATGGGAGGATTCCACAACTTCCTCCTCGGGTTCTATTAATTTAGCAGAGCAGCTCACAAGGCTCAGAGAAACATTTTACTTTCTAGCTTACTGGTTTATTATAAAAGGATATAATTCAGGAATAGTCAGAAAAAAGAGGTACACAGGGCAAGGTATGTGGGAAGCGGTGAGGAGTTTCCATGCCCTCTGAACACACCTCTCACCAAATCTCCATGTGGTCAAAACTAGGAGTTCTCCAAATTCCGTCCTTTTGGATTTTTAGGGAGGCTTTGTTGATTAAATCATTGACCATTAGTGACTGAACTTAATATCCAGCCCCATTCTCCTCCTTAGAGGTCTAGGGATGAGACTATAAATTTCAAATCTCTAATCATGTGGCTCCCACCCTCAAGTTACGTAGGGGCTTCCCCCAAACCTTCATTAACATAACAACCTTTATGGTTCTGACCACTTAGGAAATTGCAAGGGGTTTTTAGGAGTTTTATGAGTCAGGACCAGAAAAGAAGACCAAATATATATTTCTTATTATAAATCACAATGTCGCCTTAGCGGTTTGGCTCAGTGGATAGAGCATCTGCCTGGGGACTGAAGGGTCCTGGACCTGATTCTGGTCAAGGGCACATGCCATGGTTGCGGGGTCGATCCCCAGTAGGGGGCATGTAGGAGGCAGCCAATCAATGTTTCTCTCTCATCATTGATGTTTCTATCTCTCCCTCTCCCTTCCTCTCTGAAAATCAATAAAAATATATTTTAAAATAAATAAATAAATTATAATGTCACAACACCAAAAAGTCAAGGCAGACTTATGGAGACAGCAGCAATCTATTTAAGATTTGCAGTTTAGCATATCTATGAAAATCCTTGTTATAAATGGCTAATTCTCCAAAAAAAGAAAAGGCAGGTGATAGTTCTTAGGCAAGGAAACCTTAAACTTACAGTTTTAGGTGCAATTTCACTAAGACTCAGATATTTTAGGACAAACTAAGTGACCTACTTTTAAAAGGCTCTATTTGAATTTTTCTTCTCATGGAGAAAAATAAACAAATCTACTTTAATTAGTGAAAAAAATGGAGTGAAAAACCTATGACATAGTAGTTTGACTAAGACATAAGGCTTCTATGAAATTGTGAGTATTTAAAATTTTTAATAAGCAGTGATTCCACAAATACCATGGCATGTAACTCTAACAAAAGTAACTAAAATACTTTCCTTGAGACTATTCTTTAATAGTAGTACCAAAATTTAACTAAGATACCTTTAGTTAATAAATTAACTCTCCTATATCAGGTTGTAATCATGACTTCATACAGTAATTCTTCTAAAGAAACGTTAGCCCCCATCTTATAAAAACAAGATCCAGAATTCAGATGAAACTGAGAGTAGAAGGTCTGTCTGAATGGAACTACTATTCAGTGGACCTAAGAGACTCCTGAGTCTGTAACATCTGAGCAATTGCACCTCCCACAGTCCAGCTGTCAAGGAGGCTGTTATTATTTGATATTTATTTTAAGTACATAAACATAATACTATTATAAGCACTTTACACACACCAATCCAAAGAGAAATCCATCTAACTATAATCTATAATCAAAGATATACTAAAACAGAGCTATTTCTGGACATGCAACCTCTTCTATGTCAATATGTTCAGGCTGGAAAAAGTGCCTAATAGTTACATAGGCCTACATAAAGGGTCATGATTATGACACAGTATAAGCCACTTTTTAAAAAAATGCTCTTATACAAGTGTGTTTTTTTTTTCACTCTGAGCCAAGTAACAGACATCCTCCATCAAACAGAGATCTATTATATGAACATCTGCAGTAGCATTTGTAAAGCAGAAAATGAGCCCAGGGAACTTATTGTTAGTCTTCTGGGAATACATATGATTATACCTCAAAGCTGCTGCCTAAAGATTGAAACATAAGCTAAAATAAGTAAGAAACAGGCTACTTTGAGCTAGCCATGTATCCTGTTAATATTCTTTGCTCTAAGAAATAAATTCAAACTATTAGGTTGCTTAAAAAATAGAATGACTATTATTAAGATAAGCAAGCAAATAAAGTTGACAATTATTAAAACTGCAAGTCAAACTCAGTACAGATTCACTAAAAAGCTTCAGATTACACTTGATAATACAGAAAACTATAAAAATTCACCAAAAAAAAATTACACTTTGAATAATGAATCAAATCACTAATATAACAAAAAATTTTAAATAGCTGTATAGAAAATTGACCAAGAAATTAAATTGGCCTAAGGGAGTTTGCTATAGAAAATTCTTTCACAGAAAGTACCCAGGGTTGAAACTACAGGTCAAAACATTCTGTATCTGCTAAGTATTCTTGAGAATAGAGATACTAAAGGAAATAGAGTATTTAAGTTCTAGCATTCTAGAACAGAAATATGTTCTGTTACAGTTTATTCTTTATCACCTGCTTCATATGTAATACCAGTTAGAATGGGAAGGACAGGTGAGAATTTTATAAGTCAATAAAGCATTTTGTAGGCCTGAAGACTGGTTTAAAGTCAGACCATTATTTTTCTTCTACCACAAAGTAAATATATGAGATCACATTATTATTTTTCCTTGTTACAAAACCCAGGGGTGAGGGTAATACTGATTAAAATACCTCTTGTTAAGCTATAAAGCTGTGAAGGCATCTCTGTAAAAATAATAATTGTTACTATTACTAGTATTAATGTCTTAAGTGCACAAAGTTGGATAATGTATAGAGTATTCAGCATTACCTGTCTAGGGCACCTTCTAGGTGTTCATGGGAAACATCGAAATAATAATTGGTATGCTCTCCACTAGTAAAAGCATTTGAACTTCCTGCATGCTCACTGAGAAACTGGCTGTATTCATTTTCTTTAGGATATTTCTTTGTTCCCAAAAATAGCATATGTTCACAAAAATGACTTAAGCCAGCAATATTTGGAGGATCTGACAATGAACCTGTAAAGAGTAGAGAAAACACATATATATATAATAAATCATTTTTTATGTTGAAAGAAATCAAGTACAGATAAGTCACAGATGATTTGAAATTTCTGTTAGCATGACAACTCCAATCATACAATCAGAAAAAGCTAAGCATAGGCTGCTCTAAAATAATATTGTTTAGTTCTAGCCCCATCTTTTGACATTAGTTGGTGACCTTGGGCAGATTTTAACCTCTCTGGACATTAGTTTCCTCACACATCACACTGGAGGGAAAGAGTTGAATTCACTGTTGTTTTTATTTTGCAGGAGTCAATAGAGCAGAGTGCTAAGGGCACTGGTTTGGGGGTTAGCAGCTCTGTTAGCTATGAAACTTTAAGCACAATACTTCATCCATCTTGCCTCAGTCACTTTTCTATATACACACCTAACTTAAGGGAGTTGTGTGAATAAAAATTATATATTTGCAAAGCACACTGTATTGTGCTCAGCAATAATTATTTGTTCAACATATGATGGTTATTACTTTTTTCCCTCAATTTTAAAATGTCACTGAGTTAAACAAAAATTTTTCAGAAAGAAAATATGCCTCACTAAATGTACATATAGATAAGAAGCAAGCTGAGTAAAGCAGCATTAAATGTGGAATAAATATGAACACAAGAAACTAGGAAATGTATTTCCTTGTGTACCCGAAGTGTACAAAAGTGGAAGAATTAGAACTGTTACAGTACAAGATGGGAATGAATTTCCTTGCTGCTAGGCCACCTCAGCTGGGAACCTAACAAGATGCTCTTGGTAAATGTAAAATTATTTGTCTTAGACAATTGTAGATTATCAATAGCTGTACAGGGCTACTGTACAAAATAAGGTACATGAAACTGGCAACTGTTAGGTCTTTATTTGCACAAATATGGAAAGTTCTAATAAATGTCAACATCAGGTCAAAGCTTAATTCACAATTTTAAATTGTACCTATGTGTACATCAAGTGCTGCTGATGACTTATCCGTGGTGGGATCGCTGATGAGAAGTACTTTGATGCCATTGGCCAGCTCCAGCCCCCGGTATTCTCGCTTGTCTTCAGGAGATTTGATAATGTGATTTCCTAGTCTCTTGATGGCTGGATTATTCATTTTGCTGTAGGTCTTTTTGTGGAAACTTAAAAGAAAAAAATTAATTGTTAGATTGTGGCTGCCTTTTTTTTCTTTCTTTTTTTAAAGAACAAAGAGTAACATCAAGCAAAACCATTTATTGCATCATCAGATTAAAACACATCTGGAGGAAACTTTTTATAGCCTACCTACAGGGTATAATCATTCCACTCCTTCCTCTTACCCATCATTCTTTCAGAGAAATGTTAATATTGTTTTTGTAGAGCCATATTTAGGACAGCACACGGATGGGGATTTGAGAGAGGATGGGTTGGGCCATGAGTTGGCCCATGTGCTGACCTAGAATACAGTTTTCAATTACCAATAACTGCTTTCCCACATATTTCAGAGGCATCTGCTAGAGTAAGTGAGCTGAGAGTTGTAAGAATTACTGTAAGGTCATCCAAAACATTGCTCAACTTGATGACATTCAAAGATAGGGCAAATCTAGAACTCATCAGTCTGGTATGCACATGCTCAGAACACAGGGAACAAGCTTCAATGAGGAAAGATCCTGTGAAGTCCTAATACAAAATAAGTGATCTGGGCTGTCCTATGAGTCATGGCAGCAAAAGTAGGGACATAAAAATAAACAAGGTTGGAAGGACCCCAAGTAATTTTTGTAGTCCAGTGCAAAGGTGAATGCCAAAGCAGGAACAAGTCCAGTCATCTTAACAAAGATGTTAAATTGTCTTACAAAGGACTTACTTCCCTTCCTCTGATAGTCCTTTTCTTCTCTAAGAAAGCTAGAGTTATGCTGATGGAAAGGGGCTCTTGACTGCTATGCAGGGATTATTAGTGTAGCAAAGGGATTTTCCAGAGCATGGGGTATGTATGTTTTGAGACTAAGAGTGGATGCTATTCTTGTCTATGCTGCCAACTGCTTAAGAGACAAAAACTGAGCCTGTTATTATTAGTAGGTAAATATACTAATCAAGTAAAGCAAAAACATATCTTAAACTATAGAGGAAAAATGACCCTGTGCTACCACATTTGCTTCTCACCTGGAAGACAAAAGAAGTGGATTTGACTGCTCCTTAAAGACTGACATCCAGATTTAAGAGCAAATCAGAGGGGACACAAATAGACATACAATTTTATGGGATAAAAACTTTATTTTTGTGTTAAAATCTTTGGAGATTAATGGAGTGAGAAATCCAGTTTGCTTTTATCAGAAAAGCTTCCTCTCTAAAATAATCTGTAACTAGTCTTCTGAGTAAGAAATTATCAACCAAAGAGATTTGTTTGCTCCTATTAAGATTGTCCCTGATATCTTCTTTAGAAAAGAATATTTGGAATATTAAAGATCAGTAGCATAGGTCATACTAAATGTATCATACCCGTTTTTAAAAACCACATAGTACTTTACAGAGACATTGCTAATAGTTTTGCCCTATTTATAGTAAAAATTTCTTTTTTTAAAAAAATAAAGGACATATTATTTTTTATTTTATTTATTTATTGATTGATTGACTGACTGATTCAGAGAGGAAGGGAGAGGGAGAGATAGAAACATCAATGGTGAGAGAAAATCATTGATCTGCTAACTCCTGCACACCCCCTACTGGGGATCGAGCCCACAACCTGGGCATGTGCCCTTGACTGGAATCGAACCCAGACCCTTCAGTCCGTAAGTCAATGCTCTATCCACTGAGCCAAACCAGCTATGGCAGTAAAAATTCCTTGAAAAACAAAATATAACACTAACATTTTGGGGATATAAGGCCATTGTTGGAAAATTCAAAAGCAATTTGGAAGTGAAAAGGTTTTATTAACAACTTCTTTCTACTTCATTAGCCACAAACCACTTTAAGATCAATGTCAAAGGGAGATAAAAATCCGAGTGCAAAGTCCTAAAAAATGGTATTTAGTGGTTTAAAAAAATCTCAGAGTAACATCTATCTAAGCCTCCAAAGACAGGAGCAATAATAATCCTGGTTAAGGTATTTCCCCAGGGGCAATCTGGACTACAGCAAATGCCTTCAGTTAATAGCTGGTTTTGAAAACCTTGAGTTCAATATAAATTACTATTTTGAAAAATGAGTTCCAACCTAGCAGCAACATTAAGATTAAATAAGCCACGAGGCAGCCTCCATTAAGACTCCACAGCCACAAGGGCAGCATTAAAAGAAAACATTAAAGCTCAGCGTGCACCAGAGATGCCTAGGTTCCTCCCTGCAAAGCTCTACTAGAGGAAGGGAGGGGACTGGGATTTTAGTGATGAATTCCACTAAGTGGGAGCAAAAACTAAAGGCTATTTTGGTTCCACTGCTATTGTTTATACCCAAAGCTCTCTACTGTGCTTGCCCAGCCAGTTTCATTTAGGGGAACCAAAAGTTACAAGCAACTAAAATGTAATAATGATGATGCTGATGATGGCAGAGCTCTGAAACTTCTACTCAATCCACAACTGTAGTGAGATCAAATACAGATCACTTAGGGAGAACAAACTGTCTTATTCTATGGGAGGTGAAAAATTCATTGTAATTAAGATAACCACCCTTAACTATATGCTATATTCTGTACTTTTTTCGGGGTTCAATTTCTCTTATCCAGATTTTCATTATCTTAAAGGAAAAAATATAATCAGAGGCATTAGATAACTCATTTGGGCACTGAAGCTATGATTGGTTAATATCCGTGGTATGGCTAAGAATAAAGAGATTTATTCTATAAGTCAAACATAAAAATTAGTCCAACCACTTTTAGACATTTGTATAACGAGATCAAAGACAATTATAAATTTCCAAGCTGACAATGCTCCTGAATCAAATATGACTTCTTGAAGCAAAAGCCAAAAGGGTTAATAGCAGCATTTTCAAACAAGATCCTTCCCAGCAACCCATATTCAATAGCACAGGCTGGCTTTACCTAAAGCATGTCTATCAACACATCCTACAACAATTTGATTCTCACCTTCTGGAGAACTGGAGGAAATGATCTGGAACTCCTCTGATGATGATGAATTCATCAACAGCTTGCCTGTCTCTGTATTTATACTCATGAGATCACATGTCTATCCATCTCAGCTCATTAGCATACAGCCTTCAAAAATAATTTTACTTATTACAAATGTTCTCCAATTTGCACCCAACAAAGAGTGAACAAGCAAGTATTCTGACTTTTAGATGCCAAGCTAGTGCTAAATCAAATGCTTTCTCAGACATTTATTTGATATTTTTAACCTGTCAAAGTCAAAATCTTAGAATTACTTTCAATTTCAGGGACTTTATCACACATTGGAAACTTCATCAAAGGCACAGAATTGTCAGTGTTAAGCATTCTCATGAACTTGGAGAGATATTTAGTAATTACAGCATATTTTGTAATTTTGTTTAGAATTTACAACACAGAAGGTTAGAATTTAAAAGCTGGAAGAGCCATTAGATGTTATCTAATTCTTTGCAGTTCATAGACTAGCGGGACTCTTCCCAAGAGCTTGTTAAATATATAAAATATCAAAAACCACCGGAGTCCTGCTAAGCCAGAATCTGTATTTTAACAATTTCCCCAAATGGGCTAGTCCCCTATCTTACTTATAAGAAAACTAAAGCTCAGGAACCTGAAATCCCTTGTCCAAGATTATATAGCCAAAGTTACAGCTAGAACTCAGTTATTAACTGTGCCCACTCCAGCACCTCGAAATCCAAATAAACACTTAAGGAGGCCTATGAAGATCCAGACACTACACCATGCATGCTGGCTACAAAGATGAGTATGCCAGAGCCTTGGCTCTGAAGAAACCCAGTCTAGTGACAGACATGAAAACAAGTCAACTTTTAACTGTGTGGCACAGTTGTCCAGGGCACTATGGGAGTAATGGAGGGGGGACACCTAACTTTCTAGAAGAGGAGAGAGGAAAGAGAGTAGGTGAATAGAAGCATGCCAAATAAGAGGGAGTTACCAGAGAAAAGGACTGGTGCTGAGAAAAAAAACATGAGGCATAAAGAGGAAATACAAGAGCTTGGTGTTAATAGAACTACAACTAGAACTTCCACTGTGAGATCTGGACATATAAAGGCCTAAAATGCAGGTTTGCAAAAACAAATTCCCAAATAAGTCATTTCCAAATTCTCATATCAAAAGAAATTTTTTCTGCAAATAATCTTTTATTCAGATGACCTTTTACAATCCTTTTTCTCATACCTCTTTAAGTACTGCACAGTACATTAATAGATTGAGAAACTTTATGTTGCCTTTGTTCGATTTGATCCATTTCTAATTTCTAAATGAATGCCCTATAAACCCAAACAGGTGACTGATCATGCTAATAGTCAGTTATGTATCAAAACCTCCCTTCTGTGGAATCCATCCACCCACTGCAAACCACAGGCGGAAGCTGAGCTTACCCTATGGCACTCGTGAACGAGGAGGAGGCATCCCAGGAGAAAATGCCTGAACTCAGAATCATACCAAACATTTCTTCCCCACAGAAAGCAGAGGTAAGTAAGAATATGAAGGTAGTGGTAGTACTAGCATGCCTCACTATAAGACTACATATTCCCAAATACTGTTTACGTCACTTGACCTAAAAAAATAACGTCTCAGGGAATCATCTTCAGTTACAGAGATCAGTACCCCTTACCTCATACACAGCTAGATTATAAAGGTGGGTATAAACTAAAATCCTGTCAATTAAATTATATTTTCTCATGATGAATGCTTTGTCTTTGTTTCAGACAAAATGTCAGGTGTTCTAACTCTGTGCGCCTTCTGGAAAGGTGTTTACAAAGAAAAAGCAAACTCTTAAATGAGTAAGGAATCCTATAGCAGTATCATTTTAGAGATATGTGCTTTTGCAAATTTTGTTCTAGTTTTGGTGCATATATACAACCAGAGGCCCGCTGCACGAAATTCATGCACGGGTAGGGTCCCTAGGCCTGACTGGCAATCAGGGCTGATCGGGGCCTTCCTTCCCCTGACTGCTGGCTGGGGCCTTCCTTCATTCCGCGCCGCCCCCTGGTAGTCAGCGCACATCATAGCAAGCAGTTGAACTCCCAGTCGGTC